TTTGTTGTTACAAATTTGTGTACATTTAAAGCACCACAGAATAGCAAGCAAGCACCATAGGTGCTACAGTAAGTTTGAAGAGCGGATGCTGCAATGGACTACATTCCTAACTTTGAAAGTTAACGAAACAAAATCAAGTGTTCAGTCAAGCAGAAGAAGACCGTGTACATTTTAAACTCTCAATCACTTTGAGAATCACAAGTCTGGAACAGATGACAGATCTCAGCAAATGTTGCTCCAATTACTGCATTAAACAGACTCCCTAGATTGACAATTGACAGAGACATATGCTTTTCAGCCAAATCACACTGAATGGAAGAGAAGAGGTGTGATGTTTCTCGGTGAGAGGAGACTTAATTAGTGGTTCATGCGATCGGTCCCATGCGCTCCTGTCAAACGTAAAGTTATCATGTGTCAGAGAGCCTTTCCTGCTCTTGTTAGCTCTACCTTCGTCCTCTCCTTCATATGGTTTCCATGGCAACAGACCGGTCACAACCTCCTCATATAGCTTATACTCATCTGCAGGTGGGCAGTGTATATTGGTGTTCATATAATGTGTGTGATCAGACCTAAGGAAACGTGTCCACTGAGATGATCTACTATTAATTGTTTGGTCAGTTTCATTGCACTGGGTATTAATACACAGGAATGGTTTTCTGTAATAATTGCATTGATTTACAGAGACTATTTGAGATAGCAATATCACTATCTACATTTTGATTTGTTCTTTACAAATAAAGGGGAAATTGAAGTAAGACATTTGCATGCTAAGTAGTGATTAGGATCCCAACCTGATGGCTGAAAAGGGACAAATAGTTCAATACATTGACACTGAGTGATTGTCCCAATGGAAGAACAGTTAAATTGGACAGAAATTCATCGATAGTACTGCTTAGAACCACAGACCGTAGACTTTAGTCATCTGGCTGTTGCAGGTTAAATGAGCTACTGTTAAGGTTCATGGCTGCTGCACATCTGATAGATCTTTACTAAAACTATAGTCTGACTGTACAGATTTACAACAAATAACCTAAAGTAAAAACTGATGCAAAAATATCATTAATTGTAGTATTATGTAGGTGCAATTAGCTGGAGAAATATTACTAAAAGTAATGGATACACATTTAAATAATTAGCTAAAAGTAATGGATAAATAGTCCAGCTTTTTTCCAGTCCAAGTGGTAGCAGTAGGAGCGCTAACTTCACCAAACAAACCAACAACTTTTTGTCACAAAACAAGTTACATTTTTGTGTTACTTGGGCCGCTAGATAGCTCAATGATTAGAGCTGGCGGCCCACTCCGGAGCTTGCTCAACATTTCAGGAAATGTCATCCCCTTCAACTCTGCATCTCCAATAAGGCACTCTATGGCCCAACAAATATCTTAAAAAATAAAGAAGAGAATGTTAACCTCTGCCAAGTGAAAAATTAAGTGTATCCGCCCCACATTGGGATTTTCCCCAAATTTAAATGGTTATTTACTTGGCCTATGCTATACGCTTGCACCAGGTTTCATAAAAAAAAAACAGCAGTTTGAAAGCAATTTGACCAAAACACATGTTCCTGGCTGAGGTTATTGATGTGTGGTGTGGATAAAGGGGTGCTGGAGCTCAGCTTACCGGGAGGTAGGTTCTCATCTATCTATCTAGACTGCAAGTGTGGCCTTCCCCAGCCTTTAGGAACTAAAATGAAAGACGAATGGGTTCCTGTGTTAACAACAATTTGTCTTCATCAAGCGAAGGCCGACTTTCTGCTGGCAGCATCTATGCTCTGTAGTCTAAGAGCTCTCGCCTCGATCTTATTTGATCTGGTCCAGTTCCACAGAGACGACCTTTGCCGGGTTACCAAAATGTCACATCTGATTTCACTGGGAGCATCAAGTGACTTGAAGGCGTGTGCCAAGTTCTACTGAAATAGACTGACACTAGCTCAGTGACTTAAAAGAAGCCATGGGCCAACAATCCAGCATTCATTTGTTTCCACAGTGATGGTTTTCAGTACTTTTGTTCATTCAGGACCTTCTACCAGTCAAGCTGCTAGCTGCTCAATCGTGATATAACTTAGAATTGTTCCTCACAGTGATACAGATCAAACAACGATCAATGCAACCTTTATGTTAGTAATCTGTAAACCTAGAATATTGTTGCTTTTTATGTTTTGCCATACTTCTTCTCTATACTGATGCTTTTGTTTTTCTGTTCCTCCTGTTGCCATGTGTCTGAACTGCTTTGTAATGTAATGAGACTTTGTGATTGTATCTAACCAATGTTCTGTTTGAATTTATTTGATACAATGTGCAGCACACAGAGTTGACTTAACTGAATTTAAAAACAGGGACAACTGAGAAACAGATACAACACGGTGAATGTCTTGTATCATTGGAGGTAGCAGCGTGTTTGTCAAGCTTAGGGTGACAAATGATTCTTATTTGTTTTGGCAGATCCAAATCACACATCCAAACTCCAATGTACTCCTTTTCGTCCTTCACACGCCAAAATAACACAAAGAAGATGAAGAATTCCTTTTCCCTGAGAAAATAGTTTGAGACGTTCCAGCTGGGGTTCTGCTAAAGCTGGGATTTTCCCCCCACAGGTGCACCATTGTGCTTCTTCTTGCCTTTTCACCAAGATAGCCATCTCTGAACCTTCTTTGGTAACTCTCCTTCTGCGCCCAACACAGGCTGCTCTGTTTATGATCCCAGTCTCTGTTTCATCTGTTCTTTCATTCATTCAGTCGTTTTCTCATTCATCTTGGTCCAGGAGCTCGGGTCTCATGTGTACTGGGAACAGGAGCAGCTTCTGCGGTAGTCATAAGAAAGTGAGCATCATTTTCGATTTCTCCACACACGATAATGAGATGGCCAGCTTCACACCAGGGGAATTTATCTGTGTGCAGGGATCAGCTAAGTAATTGACTGAAGAATCAAACCTAGGGTCCATCATGCTAACCTTTTGTTTTTCTCTCTGAACCTTTCCCATTCCCTGCTCAAGGTTACATTGACGCATGACACTGATCAATTGCTTATCTTTGACTTATTACAAATAGTGCGCCAGTTTTCTTTAATGAAAGAAAGAGCAAAACATGGGAGGGGGTGATACATGCTTGGTTAGCATGATTGGCTGGCATGTTTATTTCAGTGGCTACATAACAAAAAGTTTCATGGTAATGATTCCGTTCGTGCTTGCATGTTGTGTGTATGTGTGCGTGTCTGAAATGTCTGAAGTGAGAGTGTGTGGGAGTTCTCCCTCCAGGCCCAGCCAACTGACTGACATGCCTTTTTCATGCTTCATGTTTCATGCCTCTGTGAATTAAAATGTCTCAGAGCCTGCTAAGGGAGGGAGGACGAACCACGCTTCCATTCATTCACATTTAACACATACAAATATGTTCCTTATGAAAAGCAAAGCGTCACATTTTTTAAAACTCGTGTTTAAAGCTTTTTAGTAGAAAGAATGGCAACCACCTGATTTTTAACAATGGTTCATAAAAACTGTCAAATAGTGCTGAAATGAATCAGGGAAAGATAACTTAACGGGGCCCTATTATGCTCACTTTCAGGTTTCATATTTGTACAGTATGTTGTGCCTCTACTGTGACATTTGTACATGCTGCCTGTACTGCAGCACTTCTTTCACCCTCTGTCTGAAACCAGAGCCCAGTCTGCTCTGATTGGTTAGCTGGCCGGCTCTGTTGTGACTGGTCAACCGCTTGGAGATGTCCCACCCCTAAGCCTATGACGTGCCATGTGTTAGCCAATAGAAGCTCAAATGTTACGTAGTGATGTCACTTTTTTACGAAGGTAAACAAAGGAGTCAAATCAAATCAAGTTTTATTTATATAGCATATTTAAAAGTGATTTTTGGTCAAGCCAAAGTGCTGTACATGTAATAAAAACACATTACTACAATCACAATAAAAGACAATAAATTACAACAGATATATAAAAAACACAAAGGTTGGAAAGTGTTGTGTCGCTAGAGTCCCCTGCTGGCTGCAAATGGAACTAAAGTTATTTATCTTTTAACACCAAATATGTTTAGAACAGAGTTTCCACATCACTGTCCTCTGGGCAGTAGTGTTGTGATCCGTTTACTTTTCAAATCTTCATTCCGTTTTGAGGCAAAAATGAAGCTAGAAAATGGCCTGTGGCTTACACTTCATCTCATGTGGCTGAGACTTGAGAAAAGGCAAGACCTGTGCATGGTGTCTTTGGTTCAGCAGTGGGCCCTTTAACAAACAGCGGGTTTAGGCATTACCGCCATATGGTGTGCAGCCAAAACCACAGAAAATGTTAACATTTGTAGAGGAAATCCAAAAGTATAACCACATCCTGAATTTTAAATAAAATAGTGCCTTCTGCAATAAAATGTGCCAGTTTGAAACGGGCCCTTTGCTTGGACTTTTAGGAGAGCCATTCATCCAAACAACTTCACAACTTGGGCCCTCTGCAATACATCTTGTAAGTGTGATCATTGATTGGATCAACCACTGCATAGAAAATCGAAGGACTGATATACATACACACTAATATAAAAACCTTTCGTTTTAGCTATATGTAAGCCACGTTACAAAGCAATGCACAATACATTAGTACATCTCTTTTAGACTGGAAGATGCAGTCGTGACTTTACAAGACATGGTTTTGAATATTTCACTCAGCATTTTTTTTGAAGTATTGACTTCTATGTTGACAGAAAAGTTTTATATCTTGGAAAATGTGCCTATTCACTGTATTGGTAAGCTAACTAATGCTAAATAAGACTCTTGTAAAACACTACTTGTGTGTCTGTTTGTTAAATATGAAACTACGGCCAAAAACTAGCTTACTTAGCTTAGCACAAAGACTGGACACTGAGACACAGCTAGCCTGGATTTGTCCAAATGTAACAAAATCAGGCTAAAAGAACCCCCACTAAGTCCACTAATAAAATATCTCTTTTGGTTGACTCCTTTCAGTCTCCACTCTTTCAATGGTTAACATATCACAAAGACTATATATACATGTTTAATTTTCTTTATTTACAGGACACAAAAAACAATGCATTTTCAATATACAAATAAACCGTTCACAAGTAGCATGTTATACACAGAGGCACAGTATTAAATGAAATAAGTATGAGGTACAGATAATAGATAACAAGATTACAAATGTGTACATAAACAATGAAGGAATAACAACAGAGCTTTATTTTGGCCGTTGGTCCCTCTCTTGATAAAATGGCTTCCAAACACAAAAAGTTGAAAGGAATAAAGTTTTATGGTCATCATCACCTCAACACAATGTCAACAAGCTCTCAACTAGTAAAATATAAATCTTTAGCCAAGCTTCATCTTGTTGGTCCCAGAGCAAATATATTGTATAATGTCACTGACATTGTTCAAATCCTAAATTGATTCGTGAGCTCTTTCCTTTCTTTTAAGAACTTGTAAAAACCCTGGCAAAACTGCAGCATTTGCTTGCACCGTATATCATAGCCTATGCCTTTTTTTAAGGTTAAAATTAAATGTACAATCGGGATACTGAAACACAGCAGTGCTGTTACTGGCCATGAGCCCCACATAAGAGCGCAAACAAGTAAAAAAATTGGCAGCTTTGTGTGGAATACCACTTGTACTATCTTCTATGTGTTTTCAACCAACTTATGTCAAATCAATATATATTAGGGATTAATCAAAAATATTTTTCTATGGTTTCTCTCATTTCAACACAAACACACGTTCATCAAAAATGTAGCAGACAGCTTTAAAAGTAGTCCTATTCACATACATCCTATGAAGACAGCTATTTTACAGATTGAGAGATGCCACATACATGCGGTGCATGTACAGAAGGCTGTGGTTAACCTGTCCCAAATCTAAATGATTATTTTTCGCTGCACTGCTTTTCCACATTTTGAACTCTACACAACACAATACTGCATGCTGGACAAAGAGGTGCTTCTACACTGGCTATAACTTTACATAATGTTATTAGCTTAAATTAAGTTTGTTTTGGTTAAATATAAGAAGAAAAAAAAGACATATAACAAGGTACGGTTTTCATGATCTGTCCATAAAAAAGGTGATGCACAAAAAACAGAGGCAGCCTTTGTGGAATGTGTGACTGTTATGTCCTTAAAATATGTGGAGAAAATAAATCTAACTGTATCACATGGACAGTTATAATAGATAGATATGTCTTATGATGTAGTTGTTTTCTAATATACAGTTCATTTTACAGGAAAATAAAATAACACCATAGAATGGATTTATATTTGAAGTATGTAATTGAATGTCCTGGTGCTTGAAGGTGACCAATATGTACCTAATATCCAGTTAAAATCCAGAGTTAAAGTCAACATCCTCGGTCCTTTACATTTGTCCCTATGTTCAGCCATTCAGTCTTTCTTTTTTCCACCCATAGTAAAAGTCTGTCCAGGTGATCAGCTCTGTCCGAAGCAGTCCTACTTATTCTTCTGCGAGCCAATCATCACCTTGGAAACAAAGTTGACGATGGCGCTTGCTGGCTGCTCAGGGTCATTCTCTGCAAACAGGTGACATACATTGTCCATGGAAGTGCCAGATTTCCTCGCCACAAAGCCAAAAACCCTGCAGAGATGGATACAAATATCAGAACTGTCTTCCAATCTCAAACTGAACATGGTCCTTTAATCCTATTCAATGCTGCTCTGGTTGTAGCAATGTGAAAAGGATAATCATTAACTTACTTTGCTGAAGTGCAGCCATCTCTTTTCCACCTGAGAGCAGAGAAAGGAGGATTGTTATTGGCTTAGTAGAACTTGTAGAAATGTAAGTTTGTTGACATACTAAATCAGGTTAGATAATAACACGCTTGCCTAACAATAGACATTATCAGTTTTCTGGAAACCCTTAAATTACATGTGTTCACACTTAAATACTCACTTTCTATCTTGAGGGTCCAATGCACAAAATATGACCGTATTCACATTGTAATGCCTCCTGAAGAACAGCCTAAAAGAAAACAGGGGGGTTGTTATTGTAAGAAACGGCCTCTGCAGGTGTGTTATGTGTGAATATTCCTGTGTGCTACCCACTTCCTCTGGTTGTCAGTGAGGGTGATTCCCTGGGAAGACACCTTGAAGTGAACAACGGTGGAGGTTGGTGGAGGGTTGGCGCTCAGGGACATACTGGTGGCTTTCTGCACCGCCTGGACGCCTGTGAGTGACTCCATCTCCACGGAGCCGAGGTACCACACATTACAGGCTGCAGAAACACATTCAAATTACACTTGGATCACAGCTGCTAAATGAAAAGAAGAACCTGTGGACTAATGTAGTGTTCCACAGTCAGTAATAACAGGACGAGGAAAAATGTTTGTCCCAGAATTGCACACAGGGATTGTGTCTGTGGTGTGAATGTAGAGTGCCATCATTGCTTCGTCATTATGTCTATTCATAGCATATGAGCTTAGACGCATCATTACCTGCTCCCTGTTTTAGCAGCTCAGCCGCAGAGTTGGTGACAGATTGTGAGTTAGTCTCCACAACATCTTCAAGTGGATCTGATAAGAATAAAAGCAAAAAATGTCAGTGAAATGTGTTGGTGAACACGACAACAGCTTCATAAATAAATAAAATGACCAGATGGCAGGACATCTAAACAGAGAGATTGGCAGATACACTGAAATTATTTTTAAACGTAGACTTGAATAAATGTATTATTTTAACAAATGACACATAACTGTATTAGGTTAGTTGAAAGCAATAATATTAGGTTTAAATACAAAATAATAGGTTCAACTTAATACTATTGCTTTCAACTGACCTTATACAATTATTTGGAACTGTTGACATAATACATTTAAGTCAATTTAAAAAAAAAAATCAGTGTACCGCAAGCCTCACAACATCAAATAATTATAAATTAATGTTTATTTTCATTTTTGAAAATACAAACATCTCTGTGACTGTGTGTGTAGTTTACCTCTGTCAGGAATGATAAGTTTGCAGGGCAGGGCCAAGGGGGTGATTGAATGTTGGCAGACTAGCGCTGTTAAGCTTCCTGTAAAACAAAAATAGTTGTATTGAGAGTTTATTACATGTATTTATTATCTTTAATAATTACTTTTAATACCGTTTCGAAGACTGCAAGTGCACAACATTTCTGATTGCCTTCATTGCAGTCAGCAACTGTCCTATACATTAATAAAAACTGTATATCTACTAAATAAGCAAAAATATAACATATAATGCGAATATAATGCAATAACAGCATAACAACGTGGAACTAGAAGTCAGGAAAGCAGGAGGTACCATTATTCTGGTTAAAGAGAACAGATGAAAACATTGGTCAGCAGGCTGTGGGTGAAGTTCACGGTGCATTACTCGTGTTTATGCTTCAAGCTAATTATCAGCAGACAGTTGTGCAAGGCACCAATGACCCATAGAGGGCAGTATGGTGTGAGAAGTCTTTCACTTTGTGCAGTTCAGCCAAACAGCCAGGAGGCTGTTTACCAGCTGTGAAAGGAGAGGATTTAACAGTATAGTTACTCACCAAAATAAGGCTCATTGGGGCAGCCCTTCAGCCGCACACCTTTCTGTGTACACTCAATCAGGAAGTGGCGTACTAATTCATCGGATAGATCGCCTCCTGTGATAAAAGTGAGATAGAAGGTCAGATAAACAGATATAACATATATATGTATATATACAGATACAGGAAAGATAAATAACTATAATCTATGGTCTGTTATGTTTCAGCAAAACACTCCTCTTTCTGAAATCCTATTTACTCAGGCCTGAATAATAGCTCCAAGCACTTGTCTTAGTACATGTATTCTTCCACCCTCAAAGATACTTGAAACATATTAAATCACTACATTCAATCTCTCCAGAGATTAATGGGATTATGATTTAACAGAAGCGCCTCTAAGGGGGCAGGAGGAGTCTATTTGAGGAATGTCTGGACACAAAGGCTTGGAGAAAGCACAGCTCCTTAAGGTGGGTAGGGTTTCACACTTATAAGGAGCCACAATGCCCTGAGCTGAACGTTGGGATAAGGACTGTGTCGTGAATGTCCCTACAGGTGCCTTTGGACTGCGTAGGAGTAAAGCAAACAAAAGGACAGGTGTGAATGGGAGATAAAATGAAAAGATTGTACGCTGGGGTGGGCTAGTGCAGGAAGGGGCATAAGGGCATCCTTTGTGTCATGTGTGTGGATAATGATAGATTAATAGTCCAAAATGGTTATGATACACACCGCGTGAGATTTAATGTCCTCTGGGCCTTTTCTGAATAAAAAAAAGTGATATGTGAACCTCTATCATCCCTCAATCAGCCTTTGTTTTCGTGTTGAAACATGGCCAGAGAATGTTTGGCCAGATTCCTCTTGAGACTTTGTTTTCATTCCAACATCCCTCCATGTATTTCTTGAATATCCTTTACAAACACTAGGAAGTAAATAACCAAGCAGCCTCTTTTGACCCCTGTCCCTGGATATTACATCCATATCAGACAGAGTAATGTGGGGCAGACAGCTTCCCCTGAGATGGCCCTGGGATCAGAGCTGGCTTAAGGACCCAACTTATCCTTTGTTAAGGATGTGAAACATTAGCTGAACATCTAAGACTATCAGGCAAAAGGGGTGTGTTTGGCTTCATCCTGCTGATGCCCAGGAGAGAAACACAGTGAAGAGCTCTCACACACAACCAGAGGGAAGGACTCTCATATTCCAGCGCGAGGGCAGGTACAGTGGGCTGTAACTGTAGATGGCTTTGTCTGTGATTATGCTATGGATGATTCTCAGGAAATCTGTACGACTGGGCCAATCTTCAAGAATAACTTTTGAGAAAAACAGTTTTTTTTCTTTCTACAAACTTAATGGGCATGTTTTCACTTTTGAAGAGGCAAAATGTAAACGCTCACCGCAGCTTCCATGCTTAATGCTAAGCTAGGTTAACCCCCACTTAACATAAGCTCTATATTTATTGGCCAGTCATGAAAATGGTGTTAATCTTCACATTGTAATCAAGCAAATAAATGTATTTCCTAAAAGGTTTAACTTATACTAAAGGTCATATACAATCAAATTGAAAGCATTTAGAAAATATTTTAAGATATTCATACACGTAAAATAATGTGTCTATAATATTGTTTGAATAATTTATTTTATTTTGAACCCAATCTAGTAAAAACTAAGAATCTAAATTTAAAAGTTTGATGTTCAAATCTACCGTACCTTTCTTGGTCTGTTGGATAACTGAGGGTGGGGGGGTAGCGACCTTCATGGCCAGTCCATAAGCCCCTCTGAAGGAATGGCTGTCTCGAACAATGAAGCAACCAGGCTCCTTGTCCTTCAAGACTGAAATGGCTGAGAGAAAATAAACATAATTGAGAGGCAGTCCTTTAGATCTGGGGAAAAGTTGACCTTCTTTTATTACTATGGCACAAAAGTGGACTCTGGAAACCTACCTTGATCCCTTGAGATATCTGGCTTGTACCAGAATTTGGATGTGTCCTGCACAAATTTTACAGTAACCTGCTTACTGGCCAGTAGATCTGGAAAACACAATTATACGCCTGTGATCAGTACAGTAGTATGCGGTGTTAGCAGGCCATGTGGCACCAATAAGGACATTAACTTCATACAGGGATTGTAGTTTACCTGGCAGAGGTGAGGCTGTGCCCAGCGTCTGAGCAGAGAGGTCAGGCAAAACATTTGGGAAGGGAATACTCAGGGAGCTCCCACTGTGGGGACTGGAGAACCCACTGAGGGCTGGAGAAGCTGTTCCCAGCGAATGGTCCCCATCTGACGCCCTCTTCTTCTCAGGCAGAAGTGGAGGCTGCATCTGGGGCAGTTGTAACTGATTTTGCCCATCCATGGTGGTCAAAAGTTCCAAGTCCATGCCTCCGTTTCCCAGCAGATTAGAGGTGGTGTTTGCACAGTTCGCGACATAGCCGAGAGCCAAGTCATCGTGCTCGTCAAAGCTCTGAGCTGGACTGCGGCCGTGAGCGTAGCGAGCCATGCGGCTTCGCTGGATGCTTCGGGGGGAGCTGTGGGCGTTGGGGGCAGGGTGGATGTGGGGGTGGTGCAGGGGGGGAGAGTGGTGACCATAGTCCACCGACATGGCGTGCAGCGGTGGTTGTCTGTTGGCGGGGTAGCTGCTGCTCAGAGACGAGTGGCGGCTCAGGACGGGATGCTCTGGCCAGGACTGGATCGTGGATGAACTTAACAGAAAAAAAGGAAATAAATAACGGTAAACTCACAGTCAAATAACCATTCAAATGTAGATTTTCAGCCACATTTCAAGAATATTTGCCAAAGATAATGCATGTTTCTGTCTACTGCAGCATAAAGGTAGACTTTTAAAGGATCACATAAAACCAGGGTCTGTTTTTCCACACCTGGCCCTATGGCAGGTTGTTGAACATGTTTACTAGCCACTCATTTTTTTAAATTTACAATGGTGTTATTTGTGCACAAATTGAAAATGTTGAATACAAAGGGAAGATGCAACAGACTTGTTGTTTGTTTTACTGGGGTTATTTAATACTGTAATTAATATAAAAGTGTTTCATATCATCTTGAGCCGACTGCAAGTCAACACCAGTCTGAAGCTTGTTTTGGGAATCCTGCGCTCTAGTTATAAAAGAAAAGATCAGCTTTGAGGTCCGTGATAGGACAGATCTGTACCTGTCTGTCCACTGAAGGCTGGTCCCAACAATAGAGGCAGAGTGTGTGGCACTTAGCGTCCGGTGGCAGTTGATGGAGGGGTCTGTTAAACTATCGACTCCAACGTGACTGATACTCTCTGGGTATCCCCGGGGTTCTGTGTGAGAGAAGGAAAACAAATCAAATCAGGCACTGCTTTTAATTACATTTTGAATATAATGAGCAAATATAAAGAATCTAAAACCCAGCTATATAAAAATAACTCAGAGAAACAAACGTAAAAGGTTCAAATATGCACACAAAAAAACAGGACTGTATGATACAGCAAAAAAGCCCTTTAGAAAGAGCATTGGAATCTTTCCAGTAACCAACAATCAATAATGGAGCTGAAATGAAATGAGACTCTCCTTATGGCCTTGAACACGGCCATCAATCTACATAAAACCAATCACCAGCTACGGTTGCAACAACCCATAGAGCAAACAAATCTCTATTGCAGCTAGAAATTAAAAGGCCTCTGACATAATTATCTAAAAGCTTTCATTTCAATCAGTCATAGCCTGGAGCCACTGACAGCCCTGAATTTAAAAGCCCTGTCCCTCCTCCAGATTTGCAGCAAAGCTCTCTCTGGGTTACTTTGTACGAGTTAGAACTACGAAGCTGAAAGAGTTGCTGGTTTCTTCTTGTCCCTATTTCCCCTAGTTCTACACAGAGGCACCTTCATGGGGGAAGAAACTTTTTTTTGCGTAATGCCTCCTGACCCACAGTCCCCATGGAGATGTGGCAAGAATGAGTGGGTGATTTTAGCCTGGGTGTCTGAGGTTGTAAGAGGCACAGCGGGGGCACAGAACGGCTCCCAGGCCCTACAACCTTTAGACATACTGTAGATCATTACGGAACCTAGTCTATAAAAGTTCAGAGCAGACTGAAAAATGAAGAACACGGAGAGATTACCCATGTGGGGGTGGGTAGTTCCTGACATTAAACATGGTCAAAAAGTATGCCAAATATAAAACAGCTGAGTTGCTTGGGGTGCAACATACAGTATGAATACTAGTTCCGCAATAAAAATTGTGTAAACAAGAAAAAAATCTAGAAATGTACATCCGAGACCATAAATGCTGATACCACAAAATGCTATGAATGCACAACTCTTCCCATCTCGGGCAATCTTATAGCCAGGGCGTGTTTCATCTTAGATAAACACCACACATAAAAGGCTCTGTTTCATTTGAAAGAACAACAACGTTATGTCTGAAAAAAAGTGTTCCCTTCGAGCCGTGACCACGCCGACATTCTCCAGAAACCAAACATGAAGGGCAGAGACTGGTTAGGAATCTCCCTGCTCTCGCATTTATGAGACGTCTTTGTTTTCGGCCTCTGTTTTTAAAACCACTCAAATTCCACGTACAACAATGTCACCATTATTAGGTAAAGCAAGAGGGACCTGTAATAGCTTTGATCTTGAGAGATAGTGTATCCAAACTTCAGAGGGCAGACATGAAAAAGACTACCATAACCTTCCACTACCTGGGTGTCTTGTTGTCATTCACTATCTGTAATTAGTTGAACGGAAAAACACCATTCTACTATAAGTAAGCTAATAGGTTTGTCTTGTGTTTTTCACACCAACTTGGTCAGCTTTTTAACTCTCTTTGAAAAGGTTTCTCAAACCCATAGGCTTAGACAAAGGTCAATTATTCATATTTTTAGTTCACAATGGAATGACATTCCTGCAATTTAAATATATACCGTCAAATTATATGGAGAACAGTTTTCTATATCCCAGCTCTGCTATTTTACATTCTTAATTGTTGCTGCTTTCAATTTCACAGAGAAAGACACATTGTTCTTCCTCATATTGAACAAATCTTAAAACTGATTCCTGTAATGCATTCAGTTTGTAATCTAAAGGAATGTTAACCTACCATTTTCTGTTCTGTAGACTCCATAAGACTGCATGAGAGATGGTGTTTGCCTGAGATGATTCAATTCCGACATACTTTTCACTGAAAACAAAGACAGAGATATTTAATTAGACTTATAAAACAAACACAAGGCACGAGTACATGCACAAATGTGATGCTCAGATTAAATACAAATATTTACAATGACAAAGGAAACATGCTGCAGTTACCATAAGGTGTTGGCGGAGAGATAGGGAATGAAGGAGTGGGTGGAGTCATGTCACTTCCTGCCTCTACCCCTCTGTCCATGTCTGGGCCAGTACTGTCATTCCTGTACAACAGTGGGTGCTGTAACAAACAACAAATAACAAATACATACATTAAACCAAACATATAAACTAAAATCATTCCTAAAGAGGCATCATACGCTGTGCCCACATGCTTTATTTACCTGGGACTGTGGCACACAGGGGGAGTACGTCCGCTGGCCCCGGTACTCCTCTGTCACGCCCCACCCCGAGTTACAGAACACTGGGTGATCCGTGACTTCACTTCCTTGGCGACTCAGACTCCGCGTGACGCCCCCCCGCACCTCACTGGACTGGACAGCTGGATACACACAGGTAGACATCCACAAGCAGGTCAATACATTTTTAACAGACTTACAGTCATCACTGAAGAAATATAAACTTTAACATTTGGTACCCTTCAGAAAAATCAACAACACTGCATCTTCTTAAAATGTCTGTCTACTTTAAAATTAGGCCTTGGCAATATGAAGGAAATCATATATCGCAATTATTTATGACCAAATGCCTCAATAAAAAAGATTGAGATGATATTGTTGGATTGATCATTGAGATATTTACTCAATGAGAACAGTGGGCTATGCACATTACACAATGTGAAATGTATCCAAAGTCACATGTGAGAACTGTGTTGTAAATACATTTGGGATTAATGACATATGAACTTAGTCCGTAAAGGGGCAGCAGCACACTGCTAACCCCAGCATCCTGCCCTCAGCCATGTTTTTAGAGGACAGCTGAGGAATGCCAAGGGTCTGGCCAGTGTGTGTGTGTGTGTGTGTGTGTGTGTGTGTGTGTGTGTGTGTGTGTGTGTGTGTGTGTGTGTGTGTGTGTGTGTGTGTCGGCTTGATGAGAGGAGAGATTGGTAATTTCCTTCAGCGCGCCAAATGCTGCTCCCTGCTGCCGGACTCCCTGCTGTCCGTCCCTGAGGACCGCGGACCCCGCCCGGACAGATTGCGGGATCTGCCTTCGGTCTCTATCTCTGCGTGCTGACGGATGGGAACCGCGCGCGCTTTACCGGAATATTTGGGATTAATTATTTGCATTTGTTAAACAGGTCCTACCTGGAGGGATAACTGCCGTTTGGGGAACAGAGCAGCCGCTCAGAGCCGCAGACGCATGGTGGATAAAAGGTTGTTTGTACTCGTTAACACCTTCAGGGTCGGTGGGTGTTGTTCCTGGTGGGCACGGGGTTTACCGGGATTTGGGATGAGCGGTGTCGGATCTGAAGATATTTAGCCTCCAGACATCACTTTTCTCCGATCTATGTCTCCGGTGTCTCTGTGAGGACTGCTCGGATGAAACAATACATGGATGGCACGAGCTCTTACATCCCCGTTACATTAAATTCGTTTCTGAAGTAACGTTCATTGGCTTTGGGAGGCTAACCTTACGACCCTGCATACACCCACCCTTCTCGTCTGAGGATCTATATGTACGTGAGTGCTTCTCGTGGGTTTGCACGGCGAGACCACCGGCACCTGGATTCCCGCCCCCTTTTTTCTGCCTGACTGCGCCACGTATGTTCCGGTGTATCTGCAGTTTTGTGCCGTCCGGTCCCACATTTATTCAGGCCCACAAAACTACCCAGAGAGCCCCTCTCTCCCGGCTGTGGTGGGGAGAAGAGTTGCCCCGGAGAGGAGAGCCGGAGTTGGGATACCAGCCAAGCCTGACCGCCTTTAAAAAACCGTCCGGTTCTGTGTGATTTAACGGAGCCGTTAGAGGACCGGTCGGAGAGGAGGGAGGACGGATTGTGGAGAAAAGAGGAGAGGAGGTGGATATTGATGAAGGTAAGGCTGATTGATCGACTATTAATAATACAGGGTGTGTGAGATGGCGGAGGATGCTCTGCTATGCAGTGGATTTTTTTCCTGCCAGGGGGGTGCCAGCAGGAGTTTTATTCTTAGTGCCCGGGAAATGAATCATCGCTGTAATCTGATTAGTCTGCCATACCCTCAGTGTGTGACTGCTCCTTTTGTGGCGCCTGTGTTGGCACTGTTGGTGGATTGTGTGTTCTCTCAGGAGACACACTTTACACACACTTTACATCCTCTGAACGCAGCTCCGCGGCTCGTGCTGCTGACAGTCCTCTCTGCTGGGGAGCGGATTGTTATTTCTGTCTCACTTCTGTGCTGCTTTATTGGCCGGGCTGTATGGGAATGTGTGCGTGCGCGCATGCTCACTTGGCTCATGCGCGTGCGTGTTTGGATGCATCCGTTCGCGCGCGCGTGGGTGGGAGCTCAGTAATAGAACCCATTTTAGGGGGAGCTTCTCTCCCTGTCTCACTCTCTGTCTTTAAAGCTGCCTCATCATGCCGCTCCAGTTGACTGGCGTTACAGACACATGTATTTATGTAGGAGGCCAGGGGATGAGTACACAAGAGGAGAGGGTGGGGGTGATAGGGAGACAGGGTGGAAGGAAAAACAAAGGAATAGAGGTAAGGATCAAAGAGTGAGGACAGGGGTTTGACACAATATGATAGAAGTAGAGGGAGCAGTAGAGGAGAGAGAAAGAAGGATGAGAGCGGAGAGAAAGACCAGAGTCTGTTAAACCAGGGAAACAGAAACAGACAAGGGCAGAGAAGAGCAGATAGCAATGGTGATGAAATGACGATGAGAAACAGGAAAGGGAGAGATGAGGAACTTCTGGAAAATAGAGGTGAGAGAGCAGGAAGGAGAAGGAGAAGGGTGTGGACAGCAAAAAGCATAGGGCTAAATAATGATGAGATCATTTTTGTAACATGTTCGATATGAACCAAAATGTCATTACAAAAAATTAAAATGTTTACTTGTGGACAGGAAGTGTGCTCTGACAATCTTTTCGTGTTAAATCATTTTACAGAGCATGTAATGAATGCACTGCTGACGGTCAACAACAGGACAGATGTATTGTTCGCTAACAGAATCATGTTAGGAACCAGGGACAGCTCAACACTGAGAAGGCTTCAGCTTAAAAGAAGTTCTGAAATACTGAAAAAGTGGTCAGTAAAATCTCGTCATCACAAGAAGCCTAGTTCAGCGACCATCAACTGGCGGCCCGCGGGCCACATCCGGCCCGCCAGACATTCTCATCCGGCCCGCAAGACGGGGGTTATTGTGGCGTTGACGGAGTGGTTACTGCGTTTTTTTACAACGTCTCGTGAGTAATGTGCAGCACCGGAGTCCAACAGAGAGGCAGCAGCTGCGGGACAGTAGCTTAGAAGTGATCCTTCGTTAGCGTGAAGAGTCTGCTAAGCTTTATGCGCTCCGCAGTACCTGAGGTCTCCGGTCACTAGAGGCGCCTGCACAGAAAGCTGAGGGCCCCGCACAGGGAGGCCTTGTGAGAACAGAGAGGAGAGTTTGCATTTCCATACAGACGCTTACTACCTCCACCATTCGCTTCTTGCAGTTAATGGATGGATTCAAACGAGTTGGAATCAGGGCCAGAGGCTGGTTTTGAGAGGCAATATAACTGATGTTAGTCAGTTAGAGTCTGTGTTGTGTTCTTTTTCCCTCACGCATGTGAGAGTGATGTGAGAGTGGAGAATACACTGATCTGAATCAAAATACCTTCAAATTCACTGATTTTTAGTTGAACCTGACCTTTGACATTCCTCTGGATTGAGTTTTTTTTTAAAGAGAATATCTCAAAAATAATCAAAATCTTGAATCAGTTGAAAATACAGCCCCCCAAAAATACAAGCCTGTTTAATGTACAGATGTAGCACCGAATTTCAGACTCCAGCTTACAGCTTCCTGCCTATGACCTGCCTAAGACCAGTATTGAGGAATGTCAAGCCCTCCCACTATTTTCCAAGAGGGCGTTGCCAGATTTTCAATTTCAGGTTTTAACCAGGAGATGGCGCTTCATTCACAAATACAGAAAGACAAGTTTCATGGACTTTCAGTTGTGTTTTGAAGAGCATTTGAACACATCAATATTTTAGATCAACTAAAGTATATCTAATCTTGTAATTCAATAATATATAGTCTATATATATTAAATAATCATAATTATAATGTAAATGTTTACATTACACTTCTTTATTTGTTATGCTCATACTTTTACCTTTACAATCGTTTGCTTTAATATGCAGTATATTTTTTGTATATTTTTGTGTTTGCTTCCTCCTGCTCCCTTTCGGACACATACTGTATGATTTATTATTATTATTAATATGAAGATATTATTAAGATAAGATTACTTTATTGATTGAACATTTTAGTTTAGAATGTGCTGTTCCACGGTAATTCAGAAGGCTCACAGGTCACATTCCGACCATTATTTAAAACAATAGGTGCTTTCACACCGTCTACAGTTTGATTTGTATAGAGGGAGCTCTGTGGCTGAATCGCCGGCGATTAGGTGAGGCGCATTTATCATAGGTGATCAGAGCTAACTGCCTGCCGTCAGACTGAATTCTACGAAGTAAATCTTATAGTTAAAGTTACAATATTCCAGTATTTAAACTTCAAACAGGTTTGTTAAGGCATGTGTAGGGTATCCTTGTTCTACTAGGTACATTGTGTTTACAAAATTGAGTTAGTCTTCTCGTTCATCCAATACGATTGTTCTTCCCTACCTTCGTCGTTGTGTGTTTGTGGACTTGTCATTTTGTGTTGGTTAATGGGAGGGTGTCAAGCTTTTTTTTTTCGGTGTTTTGCCTTGGTGGTTTGTGTTTGTTTTTTGTGTTGGTGCTGCGGTTTGTTGGTTTTTGTTTATTTTTGCTTGTTGTGTTTTTGGTCGGTAGCGATGCTTGTTCTAGGTCGGGGGGTGTGGTTGTGTGCGCGGGGTTGAGGTCAGACTGACTCTAGGCGCGGGGCCACTATCAATCTAATTAAATTACTGTCGGGCGCGACGTCTACCTAGCTACTAGGCGGTCTCCCACGTCACCCAAGTGTTGACGCCTCGAGTACTACTTTATTCAGTCTATGTCCACTGCGACGTACATGTCGACCTTGACAACCATTCTAGGTCATCAGTGCCAAGTATGTAGGACAGATCTATTACTCTGTCACATTAGTAAATGTCTTTGTAGCTGGTACAATCAAATAAACTGTTTATACAACAAATCAGCTCTATTGCCTTGTCCTCTTTACGTCGGGCCCGAGAGCCTAAAAATTATGGAGCTTAAATTAGTAGTAGAAGTGTGCTCAGTAAATAAACAAGAACAAGCGACGCTTAACGTTACTTTAGTCGACCTGTGTACTACCTTATTGACATAACAGTTGAAGTAATTTGAATAATTGATGGATTTGAGCTCATTAAGTGATTTTTATAAATATAAAATTACCTCGGAGCAGCCGTCTAAGTCCTAGGGATATTCGCATTGCCCTCCTAGGCACTCGCCGTACTGCACCACGACAAGGGGTATTCCTTGTTCAGCGACGCTTTAATAGGGTGAATAATCGCTTACGGTGTAGAGGTGTTTCATTGCTGGGGTACTGAGGGTCATATTAACTTTCGAAAATACTAATTTTACAAAATAACTAATTTTTTATCACATACATAAGCTAAATTCAACTGTACGTATGGACGATTCTTTTTATCAGGCAAAATGGCAAAAACTTTGTCAGACTCTACTTCTACCGTCGAGAGTCGACACATAAAATGTTGTGTGATTAAGAGATAATAGAGATAGACGAGAGAGGGGGGAAAAAAGGAGGAGACTAGAAAGAAGAGGTCGTCGATTTAATTGAACCCAAGTATGAGACTGCCTGGATAATCAAATAGAAACAATAACATGAATAATAAAAGAATAAAGAAAAAAAAAAATACACTGCATTGTAGAAAGAGATAATACGAAAAAAAAAACCACATAGTACAAGAAATAAATAAATGAAACAAAAAAAAAATAAAAAAAAAAAAAAAAAACAAAAAACATTTTATAATATAAAATAATAAATAAATAAATAAAAAAAAATAAATACAAAAGAAAAATACATAAAAATCATATTGTACAAACATTAAGTCCGTAGTATCAAGTGGGAAGAATTTTCGAAGTTGTTATGTTCCATAAGTAACCATTAAATTATTTAGGTAAGGTTGTCGTGTAACATTTTTGTTATCGCGATGACATTCAATTCTTTGTAAGGTTATACATGTAGAAGCACTAATTTGCTTATGTAATATTGTATCATGTATCGACTTGCTACCATACGTCGTAAATCGAAACTCACAATGACTGGACTTACAAAACTATGCTACTTAATCACTGACCTCGAAAATTGACGTCATGGTCCCTACGTTTGAGTGAGTCCGTACTGTTTTCCACTGTTCCTGGTCGGGAGGCCGAGGGGTGGGGTGCCTATAGCCGAATTTTATTCCTTAGTTGTCCGTCCTAAAAGCGTACAGTACTTGCTTGATTTCGTCGAGGAGATTATCCTACTTCGTCTTACGGTTTCCTCCCAGCTGTGGAGATTATACTATTATATAATTTCGTAAATAAATTTAACACATCGGTCAGTTCCAAAAATATAAACCGTATGACAACTCGTACTTTTACAAAGTACGGAGACACGTTGCCGATCAGAACAGATAGAATATCGGTGTGTACACATTTATTGATTCAAGGTATTTTGATTGGTCTACTGATATGACCGTGTTAAAACTCTATGAACTGAAGATAAATTCATAAGTTACAAAACCGATGAAACAAGAAGTTGGGGGGTATGTAAGTTTCATGTACCACATGAAGATGGAGGTGATGTACCATAAATTATGGAAATCAATGAAACGGTCTACCGGTACTTACTACATTTATATTGAGTTCACAATTTAGTCTGAAACTCAGGCTGGACCGCTATTTAGGGTTCGCGGACGTCCATATGTCTTCAGTAAGTTTGATCGACGTGGAAATGGTGCGAACTGCTTGTGAAAGTACTAAGATTAGATATACCTTTGAGTTAGTATAATAAGACTTTACCTGGCCTTAGACGTGTTACTATGAAAATGAAACGTGATAGTGATATAAAACCTTGTTATGAAAGATGACAATGAGAACGTCCTTGTAAAAAACATTACGTCTATGATGTCTCACTAATGGTGTTAGACCCATCGAAGATGAAAATGAGTTATGTTCTAAGACTATATAGTGAATGAGTTCTGTTTGGTCATGAAAATGAAAATGCAGATATGTTCTAGACTCATGAGACGAAATGAGTTCATGTTTACCCCTATGAAGTGAAATGCGTTCATGTCGTAGACTCACTGAATGATGAGAATCAGTTCATGTT